TGCATATTATATTCCGGCCCAGAGCTGACGTTCTGCTGCTGAAAATGTAACGTTTATTATAGAAATGCAATGTCAGCCATAACTAGCTAGCAATGGCTATAATGTTTTGCAGAATGTCACATGAAATGACCAAGTGAACTTTTCATCACTCCTCTGTATGGTGACAAATAATATTTTAAGGCTTGCCTTTGACTTATGCTGAACAGAAATAATTCACTCTGTGAACTTCCTGCTCTCTGACCCCCGAACTCGTATGTATACATCCAGCTGTGCAAATAGTGTCACCTGCACAGCAAAAGTGATGAGTTGGGAGTTTTTATTATCAAGTGTTTTTTTTCTTTACATTAAACACAGAATAAAATGCATTGCTCATCCGCTAGGTGGTATTGTTTTTTCCCCCCCAAAATTAAAACAATAGACTGCTGTACCGTGCATAACTCACATAAGTCTGATTAGTACCAAAAAAGTGTGCTATGTAATCATTTCCTTTGGTTAGTCATGTCCAAAAAAAAATAGCATTACATTTTGCTACCTGTAATGAATAACTGCAAGAGTTATCTATTGATTGTTGATAATAGCAAGTGATAGATCACTATTGTAAGTTATCTGTCGCTTCAGAATTACATAGGGGGGAACTGTATATGGCCCCCCAAAACTGATTCACCCACCCCCTACCACCCCATAATAAAGTGTTGAAAAAGATGAAAATTACAATATTAATAATAAAAATCCTCTTCATGTTAACTCCTTAGATCTAAACACATCGGACACTTTAAATGACATTTGTGCTTTTGTGGCGATTGGACGCGGACAACCATTTTGTTAAGCTCTACCATCTTGTATCATACTCTGCAAATGGCATTCTCACTCCGTTCAGTCTTCCCCCTCCCTTTTTTTGAATGGCATGTAGTGTATGTGTGTATGCTGGGGGCACAAGTGCACCAGGCACAGCTGGATACGCTTCATGGTTGTAAACCCAATTAGCTGGTCCCATGATGTCTGTCAGACTCTTGCCTTGGCCTGGTCATAAAGCTATAAATCAGTCAGTCACTGGACATGAAAAGCATTCCAGAGTGGCAATAAAACGTGCATCCCACTACAAATTCATAAAATCCTGACAGGAACAATGTACATTAAAACAAAGCATATATTCAGATATGTCATTTTAATACAAGTCACCTGATACCTTACACCCCTAGGTAACGTCTACCAGAGAGTAGAAAGCAATATCTTTTTATCCGTCACAGCCGGATATGTCATATTTGGTGTCTGGACGTTCAGAAGATGCTTCTGCATGTTAATCTACCAGTGGCTAGGCTGCTACATGTACCTATGGAAGGTTATTGACCATGGTTTAAACTTGGGAGGGATTTGGGTCACAGCCTGGGTCTCCGCCTAACACCCCTCCCCAAAAAAGGCGATTGGCCCTTGGCTTCAGCAGACACCCCCTGCTGGGACACTAGAAAAGGCTGTCATGCCTGGAGAGAGACATGAAGAGATTCTCCCTTTTAACATCCAGAACCAACTTTGGGAGAAAAGGTACCCTTTTGTTCAGGACACTTGAGATCTGCTTAAACCAAAGACTTCTGCAGGTATCCTACCTTCTGAAACCTCTTTCTTTATCTCTCTGTTGTGGTATTGCTCTCTGTATTTATATATATATATATATATATATATATATTGTGGGAACTCACTTCAAAGTGGTAGAGCTGTTAAACGCACACAGCTACTCGCTTTCTTTTTAAAGGCCTTTTTTAGCCCACTTTTATTTAAATGAAAGTTCAAAACAGAAGTTTCCCACACAGGGGTATCGATCATCCACATAAACAAAATTCAGCCTCCTGGCTCTCTCAGATATACAATCTTCCACTGGCCTTCCTCTTCAGGCTTACGTCTGACTCCTGCAGACCCTTTCAAAAACCATGGCTCTTGCACACAGCTGGCCACTAGCACATAGCTACTACCAAGCAGCTCCTTGCCGCTTTTGGCTTCCACCTCTCCTTGGTGGAGCCCTCCTGACTCCTATCTGCCGGGGTGGAGCCCTCCTGACTCCTATCTGCCGGGTGGAGCCCAGAACTCTGATCCTGACTCTCTGAAAAGGCCTGCACACACCTGTGCAATCAATCTCCTGGCCATTCCCAAAACCTGGTCCCAGGATTGGAGATTTCATCCCTCCCAAATCGCTTCGAAATCTCCAGGCTCCAGCTCCCAAAATGGACCTTACAAACAAAGGAGGAACGTGAAAAGCCACTTTCCTCCATATCAAACCTTTACCCTGGAGCCCCTAAACCGGCCTTGTTGAGAATCCAGGGTGACAGATCGCCACACTGTCACATATATATATATATATATTAGCTACATCTTTTTCTGTAAATATTTTAATTGCACATTTTGACCTTTTTAGTAATAAATCCTATTTTCTGAAAAGCGTTGAAGCTGTCTCTAACGCTTTTAATGCAAACTAAAAGAATCCCTGTCTCTGAAGAGTGCTACTGTGTGTTTTAACCTTCTGCATACATCTGTCTGCGGTGGCAGTGTGCATACAGACGCTTATTCAAACATCATAGTGTTACTGCTAAGATTTGTGAGTTTCCTCCTTCCCTGTAAAAAGGTGGTGGTGGCAGTGTGAAGGGTTAATTGCATAATCTGACCCATAACAATCGCTCTCAGGCTTCTGGCACATAGATTGTGGTCCAGCGAGCTGGAAAATGTTTGTGCAGGGCGCAGCTGAGAGTGGCATTGGTATGCAAGTGGCAGCGCGGTCTTAGATTGGCTGGTCCTTTGGTCACAAGTGGGTGAGAAGGGCTGGGGTGTGTGACACCGCGCCCGTCACACTTATTGCATATCGGAAAGGCTCACATGTCATTCAGTGTTTTTGCAGCTTCAAATGACAAAACAGCATTATCACACCAATTTCTGTCTGCACAAATAGCCTCATTCCCTCTTATGGCAGTCCTTAAAATCTCTTGGCCTATAGGCAGGGCTGGTGCTTCCATTAGGAAAACTAGGCGGCCACCTAGGGAGCACTGCCACCTAGGGGCGCCTGGGTGCAGTACAGGCCGGCACTCTCTCTGTCTGGGATGCTGTGCTTCATTAAGTCCAGGGTCAACACACCCTTCTACTAGGAGATTTTGGAGCACTTCTTGCTTCCTTCCACAGATGAGCTTTATGGGGACGCTGACTTCATTTTCCAGCAGGACTTGGCACCTGCCCACACTGCCAAAAGCACTAAAACCTGGTTCAATGACCGTGGGATTACTGTGCTTGATTGGCCAGCAAACTCGCCTGACCTGAACCCCATAGAGAATATATGGGGCATTGCCAAGAGAAAGGTGAGAGACATGAGACCGAACAATGCAGAAGAGCTGAAGGCCGCTATTGAAGCATCCTGGTCTTCCATAACACCTCAGCAGTGCCACAGGCTGATAGCTTCCATGCCACGCTGCATTGAGGCAGTAATTGCTGCAAAATGGGCCCAAACTAAGTACTGAATACATATGCATGCCTATACTTTCAGAGGTCCAATATTGTTCTATGTACAATCCTTGTTTTATTGATTGCATGTAATATTCTAATTTTCTGAGATTGTGGATTTGGGGTTTTCATGAGCTGTAAGCCATAATCATCACAAATAATCATAATCATGACAAATCGCGGCTTAAACTATCTTGCTTTGCATGTAATGAGTCTATCTTATATATTAGTTTCACCTATAAAGTAGCATTACTGAAATAAATGAACTTTTGCACGATATTCTAATTTTTCGAGTTTCACCTGTATATATATGTATATGTATATATATATATATATATATATATCTATAGAGAGAGAGAGAGAGAGAGAGAGAGAGAGAGAGAGAGAGAGATCTATTCAACTGTCAATTGGAGCCCCTTCCTACCAGTATTCAATATAACAGTGGTTGTTACGAAATTGTGTCTCTTGCTTTCAACAGATTCTCTGCCAATATTCTTTATAACCAATTTGGTGTTGATTAAGAGAGTTTAGTTCCACTTTAAATTTGTGCCCATGTGACATGAGAGAGAAATAGAGCTCAGTAGAAAGTGCGGGAAACAGGTTAACTGTTTCCCTCCTGGCTGGGGCAGTGGCTGGCTCACTAACTAGCATTTCAATCTGCTTACAAGGGTAGTGTCAGATCCCACTGCCTGCAGCCTGTCAAAGTCTGTGGCAGAAGACCTGATTTTAGGTTTTCGTCCTTGAATGTGGGCACCACTTGGTACAGCGCTCAAGCCCCATCCAGCCACAGCTTGCTACAGACTTTGAAAGGTTGTAGGCAGTGGGCCTGGACACTGCACCTAGCAGTCCTTCCCAGGTGCACTAATATGCAGGGAAGGCTGCATTGCAGCTAGATGATCCCGTATGCAAGGGGCCCTAGTGGGCTTTAATGCTAGAAGGTGGAATGACGTCATGATCGCTTTCACAGTGGTCAAATGATTGGGAGCCCTTCCTGGTGGCTAATGGCTGATCAGAATTCATGACCAGGAGCTTTAGGAGACAGCTCAGTCAGCGTGCTAGAAGCGTGCAGTGAATGCCCTCTCAACACACAACCTCCTACTGGCTTGGACACATACATATTGCCAAAAGTATTGGGACACATGAACTTTAATGGCATCCTAGTCTGCAGGTATCATTTTTGAGTTGGCTCATCCTTTGCAGCTATAACAGCTTCAACTATTCCGCTGAAGGCTTTCCACAAGATTTAGGAGTGTGTCTATGGGAATGTTTGAGCATTCTTCCAGAAGCGCATTTGTGAGGTCAGGCACTGATATTGGACGAGAAGGCCTGTCTCGCAGTCTCCGCTCTATCTAATCTAAAAGGTGTTCTATCGGGTTGAGGTCAGAACTCTGTGCAGGCCAATCAAGTTCCTCCACCCCAAACTTGCTCATCCATGTCTTTATGGACCTTGCTTTGTGCACTGGTGCATAGTCATGTTGGAACAGGAAGGGCCATCCCCAAACTAACTGTTCACACAAAGTTTGGAGCATGAAATTGTCCAAAACGTCTTGGTATGCTGACGCTTTAAGAGTTCCCTTCACTGGAACTAAGGGCCAGGCCCAACCCCTGGAGAAACAACCCCACATCATAATCCCCCCTCCAGACATCTTTACACTTGGCACAATGCAGTCAAGCAAGTACTGTTCTCTTGGCAACCGCCAAACCCAGACACGTCCATCAGATTGCCAGACAGAGAAGCTTGTTTCATAACTCCAGAGCACATGTCTCCACTGCTCTAGAGTCCAGTGGCGGCATGCTTTACACCACTGCATCCGATGCTTTCCATTGCACTTGGTGATGTGAGGCTTGGATCCAGCTGCTCTGCCATGGAAACCCATTCCATGAAGCTCTCTATGCTCTGTTGTTGTGCTAATCTGAAGGCCACACAAAGTTTGGAGGTCTTTAGCTATTAACTCTGCAGACAGTTTGTGACATGCGCTGACCCTGATCTGTCACTTTACGTGGCCTACCACTTCGTGGCTGAGTTGCTTTTGTTCTCAGTTACTTCCACTTTGTTACAATACCACTAACAGTTGACCGTGGAATATTTAGTAGCAAGGAATATTTTACGAATGGCCTTATTGCACAAGTGGCAACCTATCATGGTACAACGCTTGAATCCACTGAGCTCCTGAGAGCGACCCATTCTTTCACAAATGTCTGTAGCAGCAGTCTGCATGCCTAGGTGCTTGATTTTATACACCTGTGGCCATGAAGGTGATTGGAACACCTGAATCCAATGATTTGGAGGGGTATCCCAATATTTTTGGCAATATAGTGTATATAGTGTATATGCAGCAGCTGGGGTTTAAGGCCTACACTTTCTGCTGCCGAATATCCATGTCAGAAAGAGGTCAACTTAGTGCTATAATCACTATATACACAGATTTTAATTGTTTAATTTAATCACATTGAAACAATGAGAAAAAAATCCTCTAAAGAGGATGGGAAGCTTTGGCTTTGGATTTTACTTACTTTACTTACTTTATCATGTTAAATAAAAATCCCTGAACTTAAATTAATTATATTTTAGAGTACATACCTAATTGGTACTACTTAAAACTCAGCTTCCACCCATGCACCCCAGAGGCTGTTTTCACGTGACCCTTTATGGTGTTCCTTCGGGGAGTGAAAACTAGTTATCCAGTGCTGCAATCTGGAACCATCATCCAGATTTGTTGCTACCACTTGCACCACTCATGGCTTACTGCTGGCCTGCAGCCTCTCTCCTCCTGGACCTCAGCTAGCTGCTGGTCCCCTTACCTCCTAAGAGCCCTCTGTCCCCCCATTACCCACCAATGTCCCACTGTGCCCCCCAGAACTCCACAGTACTTTGTAGTTGGCTAAAGAGCCAGTGCCACCCAGCCCCTGGAGTGCCCTCCAGTCTCCAAGATGGTCCCCACAAAACTCACAGCTTCCTAAAGACACCACCAGCCACCTCTAGCAAAGCCATTCCCCAAAGTTGCACCCTGCTTCCTCCAGAAACCTTATACCCTTCAGGGCCACTAAGTCTGCTGTAGAGTCCCCTAACCTCCTCCAGAATGTTCATCCCCCCGCAGTGACACCCAGCACTCCAGAATTCCAATACATTTTTTGTACTACCAAACTTTTATTGTGTCAGTATAAACTTTGTCTTTTTTACTTTTCTGTATTGGACGATTTTGAAAAAAGTTACTGTGGTGACTCACCCAGGCAGCTGCATGGGTTCCTGAAGATGAACTCTTCTCCTCTGCAGTGAGGAAGAGAGAAGACTCTGAAACCAGAATGTCACATGGCCACAAATTTAAAGTGGATCAACCAGATCAACATCCCGGGAGTTTAATTGACTTGATGCTATACTCTGATTAAAAAGTGTTCCTTTAATTTTTTTGAGCAGTGTGTATATATTTATGCAGGTTAGATATGATTAAAAATAACTGTCAAAATGCAACACTGGTTAAAGGGGGGAGAGACTTATAACCTCATTAGCTCCCTCTGAACTGGCACACTGAACTAATTGACACTAGAACACCCCCTCTTTAGTAATGTCATACTACGTGTAATGAATGGGTAGTTATTCATGACCTAATTAGGAGATAGAGCCAGTTTGGGGGAGCTGTCTTCTGCTAGCAAGTTGGGGCCCATGGAAAATGTTGGCCATTTAAAGGCCAATAGTGTTAAGCAGGCAAACAAATGGAATGATAATAACAAGTGTTCCTTTATGGCTAGTGTCTAAAGATGTCTGTATGCAGTGTTTCTGAGCAGTTGAATGACAGCTCACCAATCCACCCACTCACCAATTCTGATATGTATGCAACCTCCACGGGAACAGAATAAGCTATGCAGGTTCTTGAATCCCAGCTAAAGATGATCACCCAGCAGGCTGTCAGCATGGTGAAAGCAGCAGCAGGAATGCAGAGATGGATGTTTTGGAGTGAAGATAAACAGCTACGGCATCCAACGTAGTGATCTGCAACACAGCTATGCAGATCCATTGTATGGAACGGCACACTGACTGGCTAGGCTGCAAAGGTCCACTTCAACTGTGTGCAGAATGGCAGTTTCCAACCATCCAGTCTGAAGTCCCGAGCAGGGGCGGACTGACAACTCATGGGGCCCCCGGGCAATAGGGGATCATGGGGCCCCTGTGTCCTTGCCCAAACTCAAAAAAGCCTATGAAAAAGGTACCAGGGGCATCTCATGGGCCCCCTACTGACCCCGGGCAGTGCCCGAGTTTCCAAATGGTCAGTCCGCCCCTGGTCCTGAGTCAAGAGAGCGAGCCTGCCAATTGCAGTCAAATATATAGACTTTCCCACAATTCTCCTCTGTAGGCCAGCTCTTTGGGATGTGTAGTTCAGATTGTAAGTAGAGACACAGTGCCGAATGACTGCGAGACTACAGGTCCCAGGATCCCGTGCTGTCACTCAGGGGATAAGCTCTCTCACTCAAGAAGTGATGTAATAGTCTGAACACTGGGCACTAGAGGGGAAATGCTTAATCTGTAGTTCCGCCTGTCATTGTCGCCTGGTTTCCATTATAACATAGCCAGCAACTGTCTACATCAGCATTGGTAAATAGATAGTAAAGTATATTGTATTTACTTGTTTTAAACCTTTTTTTTTTTTTACATTTCTTCAGTTGCTTTCTGGTTTCTTGCCTGGTGCAAAATGATGTCATATATCCTGCGAGTCTTCATGGGCCTTTTTTATTTTTTCATCTAGTGGAGAGGTTTTCTCAGCTAAGCACATCCACATGTCTGAATGCCTGAGTTAAGGGCAGATAGTTTTCAGGAAGTAAATGCTACATTAATTGTCTGACCTTACTCAAGATAACTGTGACTAGAAATTCTAGGGGGGGTGTTTTTTTCAAGTGATTTCTCAACAAAATAAAGCATGGAGACATGGATAGATGGATGGGTGAGGTTGCTGTGAATATTAAAAATGAATTAAATAGAGTTTTCAGTTTGTGGTGCTCAGATACAGTTTAGTTCTACTTAAAGTTAAAAAAGGAGGATTGCATGAGATTATCTTTTATAGCACCAGGCAAGATTGCTGTAAATGTATTACTTTTATTTTAAAATGAATATGCCAGCATGGCCTGCCTGATTTATTTCTAATATGACAAAGCCCTATGTCATTATTGAACAGTACCCAAACAGACTCCAGTAAAAAGACACACCAGGCCATACAGTGTTATCACAAACACTTTTACTGAAACATCAAAGGATAATGTTAATGACATAATCCAATTCATAAAAAGCCTGCATAGTTAAAAGCTCATAAAACGGTGACTCATGCTAAGTCTCTTCACCTCCCCTGAATATGTAACACACGGTGTATCAGAAAAATTTTCCTTCCCTTCTCTCACTGACCCTACTACACAAGCCTTCAGATTTCTTTTCTTGTCTCTATCTTTGTCCCATTGGGGAGATTTTCTTTAACTTCCTGTGCTATTAACATACCAGAACATTGGTCCCCATTTCCCCTCTACTCGTGTTCTGATGACAGCTCCAAATTTAGTTTTTTCTTTCAGTTTCATTCCCAATCAGTAGTCAGCTGGGCAAATGAAGAGACTGACTCTCCCTAACTGGGACACAGACTCTGATGAAAAACTAGAACGGGTTCTACACTGTATCCAAAACACAAAAAAAGTTTTGTTTTAGATATACTTTAACCGGTGTCCACCTGGCCACAGTACATTTACTGCGACAGGGTGGCATGGGCAGGTTGGATCATGTATGTACATGTACATCATCCAGCCAAGGGCACCTAGCACTCCGTCCACCTGATACATCGGATTGCGGATCCCAGTACCCAGTCGCTTTGAGTGGCCAGAGGTTCATGTGATCACTGTGCAATCACATGATCAAGACAACACAGCTATTATAAATTTATTTAATTCATAGCAGCTGTGATTCTTATAATGATATAGTGAGTGGCCCACAGCTATCACATGATACCTGGACCAATCATAACACCCTGTACCTTGTGAGAGCTGTGGGCCAATCACAGCACACAATAGTAATAATAGCTGTTATGAATGTAACTCATTCATGATAGTTCAAAACATTGCTGTTACAGTGATCATCACTGTAACAGCAATCAAAGTGTAGAACAAAAAAAAATCTCCACCCAGAGTAGTACAGTGTCACTATGGTGACTCTGAATTACTCTGATGAAAGTATGTAAAACAAAATTTAAAAAATTATTATTTTTTAAATGTTAAAAATTAATAAAAAAATTGTGACAAAACATTACAACTTCAAAAACTTGCCATGCCTCTTACTTTCCCAAAAAGGGGTCATTTGTTGGATATTTTTACTGTCCTGGCATTTTAAGGGCCTCAGGAAATGAGTACTTGGGGAGTAGGGGTAAAGTTTGGAATGTTGGGGAACATTTTCACTATATGTTGAAACTACGCAACTCTTTTTGATGATGTTTCAGCTTTTCACTGTGGACTGACAGTTCCACTTGATTGGCGACTATTGATGGCGTTGACTGCGGGGCCCTTTCCTTCCATGTTTGAAACAGGTGTTCAGGGTTTTCACTGGCCTTATATGAATTCATTAATATCACCAACCGGTAAATGCTGATAGTGTCTACATTATATCCATTTTTAGATTAATATAATGGTTATATATATATATATATTTTTTTTCAATTGTATTATTATCGTTTCATTATTGGTATAGAGCCAGGATTAATATTACATTACCACTTTTTTTTATTTTTTAAGTTGTTCATATACTTGTTATAGTTTATACTGTTGAATAATTTCTTGCTTTCCATTTGTTTTGTTGTAACTGAAAGTTTTTGATAAATTGCATAAGCTACAGGACAACTGAGGATGGGTCTATCTGAAATTGTAAGCATTACTTGCTGCATCATTTGGAATAGGATACATAGAGTAGGATGTGCTGGTTATCTTTAGTTATGGAATGATCCACCGTTCACTTATTCCTATTTAGGATATAGGAAGACTTTACCCCCAACACCACAAACAGGACTATCAGCACATAGACCAGGTATGTCTTCAGAGCAGGACTAGTAGTGAAGGGAAATCTCTCTGCTTGAGTAATAAATAAACAAGGACAAGGATAGTAAGGACTGGAACGGGGATCAAACCCTACCATGCTCCACCCGAGAAAAAAGTTTTGGGTGAACTTCCACTTCCAGTGTATTATCATTACTCCCACAAGCA